TCTCCTTCTGTGACTCTCCTTCTGTGACTTTCCTTCGTGGTTCTCCTTCTGTGACTCTCCTTCTGTGACTTTCCTTCGTGGTTCTCCTTCTGTGACTCTCCTTCTGTGACTTTCCTTCGTGGTTCTCCTTCTGTGGCTCTCCTTCTGTGACTTTCCTTCGTGGTTCTCCTTCTGTGACTCTCCTTCTGTGACTTTCCTTCGTGGTTCTCCTTCTGTGACCCTCCTGTGGTTTTCTTCCTTTTTAATCACAGCTGCTATGTCTTAGACAGAGGTTTTGTTGTTGACTTTCTTTTGGGGGGGGGGGTGTAGGAGGAGGAGGAACATCAAGTACCCTAAATTTATGTACAAAGTGTAGATTTTGGCAGTCCTGGACAGATGGTATTACTGAAAAAAAGTACTCATTATGTTATTAGAACTCTGAGTTGGTATTTTAGGGTTTTTTCCATATGAGGACATTTTAAGTTGCTGCATAAGTATTTACATACATTTTAACCATCCAAAAGAAATTTCCTGACCAAAATAGTTGTAGCATCTCAAATGATGAGTGTGTTGTTGTTGTTGTTTAGTGCCATCGAGTCGGTTCCAACTCATAGCGACCCTGTTTAGGGTTTCCGAAGAGCACCTGTAGTTAGTCTAGTGCAGATACACATATGAAAACCTTTCTTTATAAACTGAGCCTTAAAGAGTGTTCTCATGTAAAAGAAATAATTCTATTCCTAGGTTGAGATATCCCAGCTTATATGAAAATTTTGCTTAAGTTAATAGCCCTAGATTATATTCATATTGCTTCTCAGGAAAAAGAAAAAAACCTTGAAAATTAAGTGCAATTATTGTAAAGTATCTCTTAAGAGTTATTAAGATCATTGCAAGTATAAAAATTTAGCAGATAATGGAATCAAAGAGTTATAAGAGTGGTGTGCAGGAAGTCCCCCACTTCGTGGTGTATTCGAGTCACAAAGAACCATCTCTTCTATTATGCATCTGATTAGTAATATGTGGACTGTAGGATCAGCACTGGTCTGTGAACCACAAGGTCAGCAGTTCAAACCCACCAGCTGCTCCTTGGAAACCCTATCTATACAAGGTGACTATGAGTTGGAACTGAATTGACGGCACTTAACGAGTAATATTTACGCTAAAGTGTTGCAGGCACACTTGGCTGACATCATCACTCCCAGATGTCCACTCACAGATGGTGATTGTTAAGGTGAATGCCCCCAACACTGCTCTATAGCAGGCTGTGACAGCTTTTTAAAAACCAGGTATTCACCTTGGGAATGTAGCCCCTCATAGGCTGGGGACTACCTGTATTTGACTGCCTACTATTCTCCAAGGCACCTTATCTTAATACAAGAAAGGAAAGTGCTTACTCATAATTTTGCTACCAAAGCTTTAAAAACAATTATTCCGTTACTTGCAAGGACAAATAAATCTCATTTAAATATGTTCACTAAAATGTGTCCCCCACAAAAAAGCTTTAAAAACTAGACCATTTTCCATGTTTTCCTAAAACTGAGACCATATGCACTCTATGTTGTGGTTATTGTTGTTGTTATGTGCCGTGGAGTCGGTTCTGACTCATAGCGACCCTGTACAGGGTTTCCGAGGCTGTAAATCTTTACGGGAGCAGAAAGCCTCTTCTTTCTCTCACGGAACAGCTGGTAGTTTCTAACTGCTGATCTTGCGGCTCACAGCCCGATTCGTAACCACTACGCTACCAGAGCTCCTTATGTTGGTGTTGTTATAAGGTGCTGTCAAATTGGTTCTGACTCATAGTAGCCCAGTTATAGGGTTTCCAAAGAGTGGCTGGTGGATTTGTACCATTGCCCTGTGGTTAGCAATCCAGTGCTGAGCCTACAGTGCCATCCGAGGACTCCTGTGCATTCTATAGTCTTGGATAAAATTTAGGTCTAGCCTTTTCTATTATCGTGACTGCCAGTCACCAATTTTTGTACTTGGACAGGGAGGTTATAAATAAGTTGTCAATAGAAAACAGTATTTTTTTAGAATATTCTGATGAGCCCAAATAGACCCAAAGTTTTCTTCTGTTCCTTAATATTGTAATCTTCATTGTTGTTTAGCCTTTTCAAAATTAGTCTTCGAAATTTAATTTCTGTGTACTTACTGGAGCAGATTCCGATCCTTTATAAAATACAGACCTTCCTCTGGACTCAGCTGGAGAGGTAGTCAGTGTCCCAGGAGCGTCCATGGGTGTAGTGCTCAAGTCCCCGTCCTCAGGGTCTGTCCACTGAAGAGACAGCAGTTGTTCCCAGTCAGTGACGTCTTCAGAACCTTTTTGAAGTCTTTTTAAACAGGTGCAATAAATGTGTGACATACATAGTGAATGGAAGTTGTATTTTGGGATTTAAACATTTTATTAGGAACTTCTTTATCAAATGTTCAAGTTATTTTGGCTTCTGGATTCTGTTACTGGATGAAGAACATCTTCTAAAGTATTAAAAATTCCCTTCAGGAGATTGTTTTCATGTCTGTGCTAGGTGGTCCTGGACTCATCTCTAGTATCTGAATTACTTTAAGTTCTAAATGGAAGGTAAGGTACGTTTAATATGTATGCCATGCTCTTGAGGATGATGGTGACCGGAAGTTGAATATCACTTGGAATGGAACCCTGTTTGTTGCTGTAGTTAGATGGAGAATGAGAATATCAGCTGTTAGAAAGACATACCACACATGGGGAAAGGCTGGGTTCAACTGGATGCAAGAGCAGGGATCACTTCCTTGGAAAGTCAGATCAGAGGCAGGTGGGTGTCAGTGTGTGGAGTAGCTGACGTGGTGAGCTCCAGAGGTCACGTAGGCGTCGGTGACACACATCCAGGAACCAGGAGCAGCAGCAATATGGTCATGTAATCTGGTTAATCATAGTTATTTAGAAAACTGAGTTGGAGAGCCCTGGTGGTCCAGTGGTTAAGCACTTGACTGCTACCCAGAAGGATGATTAGGGTTTGAACCACCAGGTGCACCACAGGAGAAAGATGTGCCAATCTACTTTCGTAAAGATGAGTGTCTTAGAAACCTGTAAGGCCGCCCTGCACACATCGCAGGCCCTCTGGGAGCTCATGTGTTTGAAAGGTGTCACTTTGCAGACTTGCCTGGCTTTCTGTCCTGATGTTACAGTGTTCTCATAGACAAAAGTAATGATTTAAATAGCAATTTAATTTTCCCTCACTGCTTCTGTTTGAGAACAAGGATATAAAACAGTTCATGTGAAAGCATTGTATTGCTTGAAGTGAGTTGAGAATATAGTTCTTCAAAAATACAGCTTTTCATTTTACCCAGCACGTCCCTCCCCAAGAGCCCTAGTGGCACAGTAATAAAGCACTTGACTGCGAACCGAAAGGTCAGCAGTTGGAACCCAGCTATTCCATGGGAAAGAGATGTGGCAGGGTACTTGTGTGAGGATTTACTGTAGAAACCCTATGGGACTAGTCTGCTCTGTTCTATAAAGTCACTATGTGTCAGAATGGACCTGAAGGCAATAGTTTCATGTTTGCGGGGAGGCTGCCCCTCCCCTAACTGATGATCTTTGCAGGAGCAGAAAGCCTCATCTTTCTTCCACCCTCCCCACACCCCAATTGATGTTAGATTTGAATTCTTCAAGAGTTTTTTGGAATAAGAGGAAGATTTTTTATTTTCATATATAAACTTCTAACTTACTTAGAAACAATTCCCCTCTTCAGACCATCTTGAGATTTTTAATAGGCTGTGTCAGCATTTTCTTCTGTTACCATTTGAGCACATTCAAGCCGTGTACAGACAGTTGGAGTCCCTTCCACTCACTGTTAGGAGTTGAGGGGTACACGTGACAGTTTGTCAGTCACCCTTACTCGTGTGCCTGATACCGTTTGCATAGTTCCGGCATTACCCAGTTAAGCTTTACCTAGTTTTCTAGAGAGGTGAGGGAGGTGTGCTCCGTTTGCAGACACTGTATCATGTTTGTTCTCATTTGTGTTGTTGCCCTTTTGTATTTCTTTTCTAAGTCAGATTAGGTAAGACCTGTTGGACAGTCAGGGTACCGCTGAGTACCTCAAGGGTGGGATTTATATGTGATTTGCCCCATTATTTCCTTCTTCGCTTTTTTATTCAGCTTCTTCTGCCGTGTCTTTTATTTTGAATGTTTGTTCCCCCCTTTGCCTCATTTTGCATGTTTTGTTATTTATTTTTTGTTTTACTTAAAGTCCTGATTAAGTTGCATTTTGATGTTTTCTATCTCTCAATGGACAAAGCCAGTTCAGAAACGTCATGAGCAATAGAAATACTTATCCTTAGGGTTTGTCCAGTTAGTGCTTCATTTTAATTTAAAGAAATAAACTTAAAAGAGCAAAGATGGGAAGAATAAAGACCATGAGCTTTATTCATGTGTTATATATAGGAAGTAAAAAAATCTTACAGCATTCTGTCTTCACATTGATGGCCGAGAAACCGGCAGAAGTCTTTTCTGCATTTGACCTGGCTTCTGCAGAGAAGTCTCAAATGGCCTGAACAACTCCACTATTCCGTCTCTCTCTTGTGTCCACTTATCCCCTCAGTGCGTGGACCTGAGCTGTAATGAGCTCAGTGAAGTCACTTTACCAGAAAGCCTGCCTCCAAAGCTGCAAGAACTGGACCTGACTGGAAACCCCCGACTCGCCCTCGATCACAAAACCCTGGAATTGCTGAAGTAAGTATTGTTTGGGGAGAGGCTGTAGCCAGCCCATCATTGTTCACTGGACAGTGGAATTTATAACTGAGTAACAACATTAAGCATCTATTGCTTTCTGAGCTGGGTCTGCACATATGTGAAGTGCGGTGATTTGAAGGCCTTTAGGTCACTGATGTTGTTGTTTGATCTGTATAGATAAGGTTTCCAAGGCTGTACATCTTTCCAGGAGCAGAAATCATCTTTCTCCCATGGAGCGACTGGTGGGTTTAAACTGTCAACCTTGTGGTCTGCAGCCCACTGCTTATAGTGCAGAGCCAACACAGCCCCCTTAGGTCACTAGAGTGGAGGGCAAAAAGGGTTTCAAATAGTCATAGACTCACATGTCCTTTTGAGACAGCACCCAGACAAACAGAGAACGCATCCGGAACAGTATGAAGAGGAGAACAAGCTGCAGAAGAGTCCGTGCAGACCTAGACAGCTGAGGCTTACACCTGCATCTCAGTAGTTACTGGTACTATAGTGGGGTGACCTCATGGAAGCATTGAGAAAGGAGTTTTGAAAGAGATGCATAAAGTGGGGGAATTAATCACGTAGAATTAATAACCTAGAATAATCCAGGTTATTTTAACAAAACTGAGGGTGCAGGGTAGATATCACTAATGTTGATGTTTTAGGAAAACTGGGCTCATGGATATTACTTACTAGTTCTTGATGTTGATAGCAAATTGTCGGTTAGAATTTGTGATTTCAAAGGGTAAAGCTGCCCTCCTCATTGGAGTCCTGGTGTGGCACTGTAGGATAAAGCACTGGACCACAAGGTTGGTTCAAATCACAAGGTTGGCGGTTCAAACTCACCAGCCGCTCCTTGGAAACCCTATACAGGGTCGCTGTGAGATGGGGATGACTCAACGGCACTTAATGACAACAGGGTCTTTAAAAATAATAGTGTACAACTATACTTATCAACTTGAAAAATATCTAAGTATAATATTAAGTGCAGCAGATTTGCCTAATGCAGTACATAGTTTGATTTCTTGAAAACAGTTGTCCTCTGTAGCAAAGTTTTAAGTTTCTAAAAATATTCATACTTAAACCTTAAACTATTAAAAAAAAATATTTTCATATTGAAAAATTTTCTATTGAAATAATTACTATAAAGTAATCATGAATGTGGTTTCATTTTAGTAACAGTACCAGTCATATTTCTTATATTTTGGTGTGAAGATAAAATGGCTTGGATGCATGTTCATGATATAATTAGGAAAAAGATATAAAGCCATCTACCGTATTTTTTATATAATTAGTGCTACGTAATTTTTGCAGAACTCATAATCCCTTCATGCATTAGCTTCTGATACACACTATGCATGTTACATATGTGTGCCCATTATTTGCATAGACATGTTATTTATGAGAATATGATATATAGAAAGATTCCACTATGATATATGCATGAAAGAAAATCTGTGTGTCAACTTCTCGACGATGAGCATCCATTCCTGGTGTGAGCATTGGTGGACCATCACGTACTCACAGATGAACAAAGGTAGCAACCAACAGTGAACCCAGAGTACTCTCGCACAAAAACCTTACCTTCTGCTTAGCATCTAGAAGCTTGCGGGTTCTGAATTACCAGGAAGATACCCACATCTAATGTGTTCCTTGTGCTGCTGGTTCTCAGAGAGCCAAGAGTATGGGCCTATGGCGGCCCTCACACAGGCTGAGCTCCGCTCTGGAAGACGCTCTCAGACTTGTTGCAAAATGTACAGGAGTGAATGTTCCGGTCACCTCAAATGCTGCCCAGCTCCACTGGCTTCGGCTGGGCCAGGAATGAAAAGTCGTTGCTTACACTAGAAAGGATTGTGAGTGATTTTAAGGCTAGGAAATGGGATTGTTTGTTTGAAGGCTCTGAATTCTGTATCTATGTTTATGTATTTCTTAGTATCATTAATATCACTTACCAAGTATAAATTTTGCTGAAGATAATTTAAAAATAGTTGCAGCAGTGTGTCCACAGGGAACTGCCAGATGCAGAGGAGATCTTAGAACAAGAAACAGCAAATACCAGAAAGACATTTACCTGTGTTTTATTGCCAATGCAAAGGCATTCAATGGTGTATATTATAAAAATGTATGTGAAAAATGGGAATTCCAGAACACTTAATTCTGCTCATGCAGAACCTGTTTATAGAACAAAACGTCTGTATACAGATTCCAACAGAACAAGGGGATACTGCTTGGTTTAAAACCAGGAAAGATGTGCTTCAAGATTCTATCCTTTCTTCAGACTTACTCAGTCTGTATGTTGAGTTTATAATCCAAGAAGCTAGACTATAGAACAATCCAAAGAAGAATATGGCTTCAGAATCTGAAGACTCATTACCAACCTGCGATCTGCAAATGACAACAACCTTGCTTGCTGGAAGCAAAGAAGGCTTGCATCATTTACTCATCAAGATTAGACTACAACCGATAGTGTGGATTAAACCTCCACACAAAGAAAAAATCCTCACAACTGGACCAATAAGCAACATCATGATAAATGCAGAAGAAACTGAACTTGTCAATGATTTCATTTTACTTGGATCCACAATCCACACCCATATAGAAGCTGCAGCCAAGAATTCACAAGATATATTAAATTGGGCAAAGATTTCACTGTCAAAGCTAAGGTGTGCCAGACCCAAACCATGGTATTTTCAGTCACCTCATATGCTTATGAAAGCTGGATAATGAATAAGGAAGACTGTAGAAGAATCCATGGTGTTGGTGAAGAATATTACATGTGCCATGGACTGCCCAAAGAATGAACAATCTTTGGAGAAGTACAGCCAGAATGCTCCTTAAAAGCAAAGGTGGCAAGACTTCATCTCATGTTCTTTGGACACGTTAGCAGAAGAGACCAGACCCTGGAGAAAGGACATCATGCTTGCTAAAGAAAGGGTCAGGAAAAAAAAAGAGGAAGAAGGAAGACCCTTAGTAAGATGGGCTGATATAGCAGCTGCAAACATCGCAATGGTTGTGCGGAAGATGCAGGAGTGGGGTGCTGCTGTTGTACACAGAGTCGCTGTGAATCAGGACTCTTTCGACAGTCCCAACAAAAACACACGTGAAAGACACAAATGCTGTTAGAAATAAGCCTTCATTGTTTTTCCTTAGCATATATGACGGTGTATGCCTCAAGAACCCCATTGCATTCTGGACCATTTTAGATGGATAAAATGTGGTGAGAGCTCATATGGAGAGCAAATAATGATGGGACTGTAGCTAGAATAAGGAGCTCTAGTAGCGTCGTTGTTGTTACGAATCGGGCTGCGAACTGCAAGATCAGCAGTTCGAAACTACCAAGCTGCTCCCCAGGAGAAAGATGAGGCTTTCTGTTCCCTTAAAGATTTACATCCTCGGAAACCCTGTTCAGGGTCGCTATGGGTCAGAACCGACTCGGCGGCACTTAACAACAACAACAATAGCTAGAATGCTTGTTAGAAGCAAGGATGGTGAGACTTCATCATGGTACTTAGGATATGTTATCAGGAGGGACCAATCCCTGGGAAAGGATATCATGATGATGAAGTGGATGGTCAGCAAAAAAGAGGAAGACCTTCAACGACATGGACTGACACAGTGTAATAGTGGACTCAAAAACACCTACTACTATGACGGTGGTACTGGACTGTTGTTGTTAAATGCCATTGAACCTGCAGTTCGGTGCTTATCCTACAGCGCCACACCAGGACTCTCAAAGGTTAGAACATTGGAAGTCCTGTGAGGCCATAATGCTCTGCCATCTAGGGTCGCTTTCAGTTGGAATTGACTTGACAGTACAGAACAGCCACCATTTCTTAACGTTACTCTTTTGCTTTGTAAGTTTTATGATATTTTTCATTGCAGCACGGATGGCTATAAAAAGAACTAGATGCTTCAGGAGACGATAAATCCTGTGTTGTGGTTGTTAAGTGCAGTAGTCAGTTCCAACTCATAGCTACCCTCTGTAGGTTTCTGAGGAGTGGCTGGTGGATTTGAACCCCCAACCTTGTGATTAGCAGTTCATTGCTTATCCTACAGCGCCACACCAGGACTCCATATTTGATAAATGGTTGAAGGTTTGCTGTGCATGGAAATTGGATTTGGAAATGAACTGTTGAGAATTCTCTCACATCAACTACACACAATATGAATGGCTTCAATTTTGTCCTTTTCCAACCCGGGTTTTCATATTTGAAGAAGACGCCCTCCTCCCGCCTCCCCCCACCCCCCCTACACACACACAAAATAAAAAAACCCACAAAAAAACGTGCTGCTGTGGAATTGATTCCAACTCCTGGCGGCACATAGGGTTTCCAAGGATATAAAACTTTACAGAAGCAGAATGTCACATCTTGCACCTTCAAAACAACTGGTGGGTTTGAACAGACAGTTAGCAACAAAGGCAATTGCTTAAACACTGAGCCACCAGACTCTCTTAAATCCATCAAACTTGATGCTTCAATTTTGTTTTCTCGAGCCAAGGGTGAGACTAGACCTATTCATTGTCAGTAGACCAGCCATCTGGTATGATTGGTATACAAGTGGTAGAGTGATGCTAGCATCAGCTCGTTTTCCTGCCCTATCTATATTTCCCTTGATTTTTATTGTTAAGTGCTATTGAGTCAATTCTGACTCATAGCTACCCTGTATAGGGTTTCTGAGGAGTGACTGGTAGGTTTGAACCACCACCATGCAGTTCAAATCGACCTGGTAGTTCAGTGCTATAGCGCCACACTTAGGCTTCCTGGGTTTTATTAGCAAGATAAATATTTCCATGCACGAAACCTGGAAGTCAGTGCTTAGTACTGAGTGCCCCACAGGTGGCTCTCTCGTCTCAGGTGAAGGGAAGCATCGCTCTTGGTTGGTTTTAATGATTCCTCTCTCTCATCTAGCAACATTCGCTGTTTCAAGATTGACCAGCCCTCCGCAGGAGATGCGTCAGGAGCCCCAGCAGTGTGGAGTCACGGCTACACCGAAGCTTCTGGAGTGAAAAATAAGTAAGTTGGGCGGAGCTTAGAGCAGGAACTGCCTCACTTCTCTGTAGTTGCTGTGTGCTGGCCAGTTGCTTCTGTGTCATAGCGACACAGTATAGGCTTTCTGAGGAACAGTTGGTGGGATTGAACTCCTGACCCAATGCTTTTCCTGCAGCAGGGCCTCACTTCTCTAGTGGGGTGAAAACAAACCCAGCACTCAGGCGCATACTTTTCTCACATCAAATTATATGAGGATGTTCCCCAAAGTGAGGCCCCTCCAAGGCTTCTCTGTTTGAACACGGAGCTAAGGCCCTGCTTGGCATGACATACTCCCTCCTTGTGAGAGAGGTTGCTAGGATACAGTGTAACTGACCCAGTATACTTCGGGAGACTCCGGTGTTTGCAGAAGGCCTGAGTATTGAAATGCATCCCTGCTCTTTTGAAAGCCTCTTTATCTTTCTCTGAAGCTGTTTACCAAGCAAGACAGGGATCATATTAAAGGGAAGTGGCCTTGATTGCCGGTATTCCAGATCACTTACGTGACTGACTAGTCAGGAGCTCTGTGGAGCTGGGAGCCCTTGGATGTCCACTCGCTCCTCGCCTCCCTGACAGGCCCTGCTCTTCTGAGTTCGTGTTCTTCCCCATCCTCAGCCCACTCTCTGTCCTAGCTATGAATGCTGATCTTCCTGAGAATGGTAACCCAGCTCGCCAGACAAGTTGTTGTTTTTAGGTGTCAATGTTGATGCGGAGCAACCATGCATATAACAGCTCTATGAAGAAACTCATTAGGAAGAAGTGCTAATAATAACTTGTGTTGAAGTGCCATTGAGTTGGTTCCGACTCAAGGCAACCCTGTATAAAATTTCCGAGGAGTGGTTGGGGATTTGAACCGCCACCCTTGCAGTTTGCAATCCAGTGCTTATCATACAGTACCACTCGAAGCCTCCTAGAAAGTAAAACACCCAGTTGTTATTGAGGCCACTCTAGCTCCTGACAATCCACTATCGGAGTTATTTGCTAGTTGACAGCAATAAAGTGAGCCACATGAATATTTTGGTTCCCTGTGCATGAAAGTACTGTTTACACTGTATAGAGCCTATTGGGGTGCAGTAGCATTATGATAAGGTTTGAATGCTGTGCGAATGACCAATGCGTGGCAGGTACAGAGTGAGCACTGTTGGAAGAATGGGCTGAGTCAGCCCAGGGTGACCCCAAACCTTCAGTTGTAAGTGTGCAGTAGCTCACTGTCTGTGAAGTGCAGTGAAGCAAGGTTTACCTGTATAGGAAGTCCCCACTCTGAGATAACTGTAATTGTGAGCCACACTTACAGCCATCTGTTCTGGGCTTTTTGTGTACCTCTTGTCAGTAGTAGTATGGGCCACACACACCATCACAGCACATATTTTGCTGATGTGGTCTTTCTCATGTCAACCCCAAGAGGTGGTACCCTCAGCTGGTTCTCCAGTGTTTTGTGTTTGCATTGTGGCTACAGAGGGAAGTTAAACCGGTAGCTAGCTGCTTGCCCTCCTGAGGGTCCCTTACTCAAGTCTCGGAGGATGTCTGCTCTTCTCCTCCTCGCCCTCCCTCTTGGGTCTTCTCTGACTCTTGGGAAACCCCATGCAGGGAGCTGCCCTAGGAAAATTGAGGTTGTTACTCAGACTGAAAAACAAACAGGAAGAAGGTTCAAAGGAAAAGAAGTCTTAAGAATGATCATGACTGTACTTTTTCTAAAAGTACATGATTTCCTTTCTTTAAAAAAAAAAAAAACACCACCACATAACTGCTTTCTGACTAGGAAGGGATTATAGGAGAAAGACAGAAGTATAAAGTGATTCAATATGAAACTTTATTTCATTCCAAACTGCCATGTAATTTAGGGGCTTGGTTTTCCTTAATGAATGGGGACAAGGGTTTCAGAGCCCTGGAATCCGAGCTGACCCGAGACTCCTTGCGATGCCCCTTGGGCAGTTATTCAACTTCTTGCCTAATTTTCTCATCTGTAAAATGGTACTAAAAATAGTACCTAATTCATAGGGTTGGTGTAAGGATTCTAGGAGTTACCGGAGACTGTGTTCTCGGTGCTTAGAGTATGCGTACCCACTACTATTATTAACGATAATGGTTATGATCATTTTTCGAATCTCAAATAGTAGATTTCTGGTAGCGTAGTGGTTACGAATCGGGCTGCTAACCTCAAGGTCAGCAGTTCGAAACTTCCAGCTGTTCCATGGGAGAAAGATGAGACTTTAAAGATTTACAGCCTCAGAAACCCTGTACAGGGTCACTATGAGTTGGAACCGACTCCACGGTACTTAACAACAACAGCATGTTCCAAACAAGCTGAAGCCCACTACCATGAAGTGAGTTCCTGCTCGTATCCACCCCAGTGGACAGTAGAACTGCCCCATAGAGTTTTCCAGGCTGTAATCTGTACAGATGTGACAGCTACATCATTCTCCCACAGAGTGACTAGTAGAATACAGCCACCAACCTCTCAGTTAGCAACCGAGCACTTCACCCAGGACTTTTAACCAGTTCTCCCTAATTCAGTTACGGCTGAGGAAGCAAAACCCAAATAGACCCACATTTTAAAAATGTGAGTGAACCAGAAGAATGACCTGAATAGGAAAAATTACAGGTCAGAGACCTGCTAAAATCTTTATCTCCCTCTTAGAAATCAAGGATAGCACAGCAACCAAATCTCTTGCCTGTCAGATTCTGAACAGTGTCAAGTCGAAAGCAGCAATTGCCCCTCTCAAAAGATAGTGGACAACCCGGTCATGCCACTTTGATGGTATTTGGCTCTCCTTCCCGAGTGCTGACAACCATTCAGTCTCACATCCGGCCTGAAAGGAGGCCCTGTTCCAGGACTCCAGCCTGTGCTTTTTCCTGTTCAGGTTATCGTTTTAGGTCACCCAGATTTTAAGTATGCAGGTCTGTTCATCAGTCATGAATGAAAATTTTTAAGCAGGTTTCAAGCTATGCTTAACTACTGTGCCAGTCTTCTTGTTGTGACGTGCCGTCGAGTCGTTTCTAACTCCTAGCGACCCTGTATAGGGTTTCTGATGTGTGGCTGGTGAGTTTGAACCGCTGACCTTGCAGTTCAAACCAACCTCATGGTCCAGTTCTTACTCTATAGCACCACACCAGGATTCCTTTATTAGTTTACATACCGTAAAATGGCATATACAATATAGTCCACTCACCTTTTTTGGATATAGACCTTTAGTCTATAGCTCTGTAGGCTTTGATAAAATAATTGTGTGACCACCAGCACAAATCAAGAGAGAGAATCATTCCATGGCCCCTAAAACTCCCCCATGCCCCTTTGCTTTCAATTCTGCTCCCCACCCCATCCCTGATAGAAATTAGCAGGGATCTGTTTACCTATCTTTAATCTGTCAGAGTCAAGAAGTAAGAGACAAGGCCGTGTTGTTTGTCATAGTCTGAGTCTTTCAGCCCAGTGGGGTTGGCCGTGCCTAGGGATGGAGAAGGAAGGATGAGCGGACTTAGGCCACAAGCATTCCTGCTTTGCAGGTTGTGTGTTGCAGCTCTGTCGGTGAACAACTTCTGTGACAACCGGGAAGCCCTGTACGGTGTGTTTGATGGAGACCGAAACGTGGAGGTGCCCTATCTTCTCCAGTGCACCATGAGTGACATCCTGACAGAAGAGCTGCAGAAAACGAAGCACGAAGAAGACTACATGGTCAACACGTTCATTGTTATGCAGAGGTAACCTCATCCCTGCTGCCTGCTTGCTCTTCTCTGAGGGCTTGCCTCTATAAGAAAAACGGCTCCAGGCACGCTTGTTGCATGTGGACACGTTGCCAGAGCATCGGGGTGGGCTGCACTCCAGTGTGGTGTCCAGACAAGCTTGTGTGAGGTCTGGAGTTTAGTTCTCTTAGAACTAGACCTCACAATCCTGTCATGCTTCCAGATTGCTCCAGAGTGTTCACCCCATTCCCTGCTCCCCCAAATTAGGTGAAATCCAAACTCCCTTGAGCTTCCAACACCTGGGCTTCTGTTTGAAATGTAGTTGCTACCCCCTTGTGTACACCCTGATGAAATGCTTCCATTGGTTTGAAATAGTGGAAACCAATTAGCTTAGTGATGTTGAGATGGTCAAATTTTAGACTTAGGAGTCAAATTACTTTTCATATGTTGAGCCCACCCCTTATTACTCCAGACATTGTTGCTAGAAACTGGAGCCATTTCCTAAACCTTCTAGCTGCCACAGAGCCGTAGGACACTGTAGAGATACAGATGGTTGTTTGTGACTCTTCAGGCTTGTTTTTCTGTCAGGTACTGGCTCTGAAAGTTGTACAGGAGTTCCCTGTGTTTATATGTCATACCGCAAACACTTTGCTGAGGTGGACCAACCAGGAAGTGAGAAAGTGCGACAGTGCTTGAAAGGTCTTCTGTGATGATTTGCCAGAGGAAGTAGCTCTCTAACAAGGGTAGACATATCTGCTGTGGCTTGCTGGATCCCATCAGCCTTTAGAGTTATTCCTCAGAGCTCCATTGTGGCAGGCCCAGTGAGGAGTTCTGTGGCTCAGCTCAGCTCTTTCAGCCCTCAGCGTACCTACAACAGTCAGCCATCGGATAGTGACAGCAGCTAATACCCCGTGAACCTGGGATGTGTTCCAGCCATTGTTCTAAATACTTGACAAGAAATGGTACTCTGATTTTACTGATGAGAAACTGAGGTACAGAGAAGTGGAGTTAGGTGGAGTTAGGTAGAGCCAGGATTTGATCTGAAGCAGTAAGAGTGCAGACGATGTTCTCTCAACTTCTGAGTCTGTCTACGGTTACTGCCATTGTGTCCTGGGAGAAAGCAAACGTGCATCACTTATGGAGACAGTCACATACCACACCACACATGTGCCCTTAGACCCTCAGGCACAGACTGATGACTGGCACTGCCCGCTGTGCTGTCCACAAACACCACCCTGTTTCTGCCAAAAGAAAATCACTGTGCCTTGAAAAGAAGAAACGAGCGACTTGGCAAGTTCTAAAGCCAAACGTGACCATGAAAGTGCAGAAATTGGGAGTTCAGAGGTCCGAGTTGCAGGCCCATCTCCAGTGTCTTTGCGTACCTCTCATCCCACACATGTTAGTGGGGTGCAGGATATGTGGTGAGCTTTTGATCCCTCCTGGTAATCATGAGGTCCTGATTCGGGGGAGCAGGCAGCCCTGGTTTTGGTGTTGCCACTTGGTTCACTGCATCATGTCGTGTGAGCTGCCAGTGCCTGAGACGCTGCTTTTGTAAGACGGGGGATTGCATTAACCCAGCAGGTGTGGGGGTGGGAGGGCACTGCCCTTAGTGATTGCATTAACCCTGCTCCTGTACCACCAGAAACAGCAGGGGGGGGGCACTGCCCTTAGTGGGACGTGTTCTAGGACTTCCTTGCCCCTATTGGTTTTGGGAATTTGTGTTCCAATAGGTCTGTGAACTAAAGAGCCTAATGAAAGGGTAAATCACAAGTACTTTGCAGGTGGAATATTGTTAGAAGGTCCTGTGAGTGAATAGTCTAGAATAGACACTGGTCCACAAGGCATCACTGTGTTGGGCAAAGCATAGTGGGTCCAGTCTCTCACCAGCAAGCAAGCTCTAGAAGAGATGGGTGGTCAGCCATTTAGAAGTCCACACATCAGTGGGAGTGATACTTCAATTTAACCTGTTCTTATTGAAATGGATCCTTTGATCTTCCTGTCTTGAGAGCAGAGGGGACGACAAGAGGGGACACTGGAGTGGACAACAAGAAGAGGCACTGGACTGATAGGACAGCTGGTGTCAGAGTAGCCAACTGGACGTAGCGGTCCAGGGCCTCCTTTATTCCTGGTCAGCTCCTGTGGCTTCAGGGCGGGATGGGGAATCATATTGTCTTGTCTCCAGCAGCCATCACATTAGGGGTAAGTTAATTAAATGCCTGATCAAATATAGCAAGCTAAACGGATGATGTTCTATGTATCCTAGTGGCTCCTTGTGAGCAGGGTCAGTGACCACAGAGCCCCTAGCAGGCCTCTGAGAGGTGAGCAGGGCGCACTTGGATAAAAGCGAACGAGGGTGTTGGATTCCTCAGCTTCATTCCCCCAACCCTGCTCAGTGATGCACCGTGTTTCTGTGGAATTCACAGAACTGACATGTGATGTCTTATGTTGAAATTTTGCCCTTTGGATTCCAGGAAACTTGGAACTGCCGGGCAGAAACTTGGAGGTGCGGCTGTCCTTTGTCACATCAAGCATGACCCGGTGGATCCTGGAGGGTCCTTCACCTTGACCTCCGCTAACGTGGGCAAGTGCCAGGCAGTCCTGTGTCGGCATGGGAAACCGTTGCCTTTGTCCAGGTGGTATGTCATGAGCTGTGAGGAGGAGCTGAGGAGAATCAGGCAGCACAAGGCCATCGTCACGGAGGTGAGCAGAGGACAGTTTCCCTCAGGTCGGCCGGGAGGGCAAGTTCGGGGCAGAAGCAACTCAGGCCGCCCTTTCCTGTCAAGGACCCTTCTCTGAGGCTGATTCCATGTTTCTGTGTGAGAAGTCAAGTAATAAATTAGCATTTATCAGGTGCTGAGTCCTTCAAAGGCAAGACCCTATTTAGCAATCACAGACTCTTGCAAAGGCATAGGTTTGGTGATTGAGGGTACTGAAGTCATACTGCCCATATTCACATGCTAGCTCTGCCATGTGCGGGCACTGGCCTTTAAACCTCTGTCAGCCTCAGCTTCCCCATCTGCAAAGTGGGAATAATGAAGTATGTGTCTGCCCTATCTTATAAACCTAATGTAGGAAAACTGGGCAGGCCTGTGCAGATGTGGCCAGGTGTGGTTTGGTTCTGTACCTCCTGGGCTCCATGTAAGCAAGGCGGTCATCTTGCTACAAATGGTCCCAGACTTTAGCCCTTGACCGAAGTGGCATGAGCCCAAGTGTACAAAGTCAGGAGATCTCACCCACCACTAGGAAATCCCATTCATTGAGGAGATTCGAGTTGACCTGTCTTCTAGCTTGTGTGTTCTTGCTCAGTGAGTCACGCCCAGCTCTCCCCCTAGATGAGTGTGAGGTTGTTTGTAAACCTTCTGAAGTTTAAGCCGTGCCCATCTGCTCTGCTAGAACTTGAACTCTCAGTTGACAGGACTTGTTTCCACTCACTTGCCTGGTACATCTTTTCAGGAGTGGCTTGTTTGGGGAAAGGGGAACCTGAAGGTTTACAGCCAGAGCTAATCAGCCCGCTTGCTGTGTAAGGCTGGACCATGGCTTGCTTGAGGGATTAGAGACAGAGAAAGGGAATACCTGAAATCGTTCCTGTGCCCCTGCTCCTCACCTGTCCAACCCTACTGCCCAGGGCTCTCTGGTGGCTGGGGACACTGTCAGCTTGCAGAGTGGAGGCATCCTGTCCTTTGTGGACCCCTGGCTCTTCCCTGATGGCTGGGAGGCGATGGGAAGCCCCTCATGTGTGGGGTGTTAACTGTCTGGGCCCTTCTGCAGGACGGCAAGGTGAATGGAGTCACCGAGTCCACCCGCATCCTGGGCTACACCTTCCTCCACCCCAGTGTGATGCCACGCCCCTACGTGCAGTCGGTGACGTTGACGCCCCAGGACGAGTTCTTCATCCTCGGCAGTAAAGGACTGTGGGACAGCCTGTCCGTGGACGAGGCAGTGGAGGCGGTGAGGAACGTGCCTGACGCCCTGGCCGCCGCCAAGAAGCTGTGCACACTGGCCCAGAGCTATGGCTGCCACGACAGCATCAGTGCTGTGGTGGTGCAGCTTAACGTCACCGAGGACAGCTTCTGCTGCTGCGAGCTGGGGACCGGCGGGACCGTGCCACCACCCAGCCCAGGCCTCTTCCCCCCGTCGGTCAGCATGGTCATCAAGGAGCGACCGTCCGATGTGCTGGGCGTGCCCTCATCCAGCAGCGGCATGGCTTCTGAGATCAGCAGTGAGATCTCCACGTCTGAGATGAGCAGCGAGGTGGGCTCCACCGCCTCGGACGAGCCCGCCTCCGGAACCCTGAACGAGAGCAGCTCCGCCTACCCGAGCGAGCCCCGCTGCATGCTCCACCCCGTCTGCCTCTCCCACTCCTTCCAGCGCCAGCTGTCCAGCGCTACCTTCTCCAGCGCCTTCTCGGACAACGGGCTGGACAGTGACGACGAAGAGCCCATTGAGGGCGTCTTCAGCAATGGCAGCCGGGTGGAGGTGGAGGTGGACATTCACTGCGGCCGGGCCAAGGACAAGGAGAGGCCGCAGGGCCTGCTGCAGGTGCCGGCCGAGGCCAGCGATGAGGGCATTGTCATCAGCGCCAACGAGGATGAGCCAGGGCTGCCCCGGAAGGCGGACTTTTCTGGGGTGGGGACCATAGGTCGTCGGAGGGCTAATGGCTCAGTGGCACCCCAGGAAAGGAGCCACAACGTGATAGAGGTGGCCACGGACGCTCCACTCCGAAAGCCTGGCGGCTACTTTGCTGCCCCAGCTCAGCCGGATCCCGATGACCAGTTCATCATCCCCCCGGAGCTGGAAGAGGAAGTCAAGGAGCTCATGAAGCAACACCAAGAGCAGCAGCTGCCCCCGCCGCCCCCACCTCCGCAGCGGCAGTACCCGCTGGACCAGCTGCCGGACTATTACGACACGCCGCTATGATCCACTCTGAGCAGCACTGTTTCAATAAACGAACCCAAGAAGGCTGCATTGCAGTCTCCCAGGCTCACGTTCAACCAGGGCTTTTACTCCACCTCCCTCTCCCGGCTCCCTTCCCCAACCTGTCTTTGCAGCTAACGTGTAGGTTCTTTTTTTTTTTTTTTTTCTTTGCAGCTAACGTGTAGGTTCTTTTTTTTTTTTTTTCTTGTTCTTGGTTTTCTTCTTTTTTAAATGTAATTACCACTTTTCTTCTAGTGAGGCTTTACCGATATGATTTTAATTTGTTAGCTTCTTCCCCTAACATATCAAATGTGTAAAGACAAAGAACAAAAGGTTTAATATATTACAGAGTAGTACTTAATGATATTGGAATATTTGTTAAAACGACTTCTTGTTGTTTTGTTTGCTAGGCAGGGCAGGTTGTCAGTGCTAAATGAGTTTGTAAAATTGGATTCTGTATTGCTTTTGGGGAAAAGGCTTTTCTTTTCTTTTTTTTGTCTTGAAAATGACATTTGTAGAAAACGGAGACTAACTCCTAGGAGTTGCTTTACTCTGTCATGTGACGGAAGTCCCTGGGACGCACTAATTTTCTCTGAGAGAACAGTTGATTGAGACGTTTCTATTGTAAATAGCTCCGTGTTGTATAGTGATGCTGAAAACGTTTTGTAGTCTTGGCATAAGGACACAGTCTAAACAACTCACTCCCCTCTCCCTCCCCCTCAACCCCGACTCCTTCCCTTCCTCTAGTCCCTGCGGGATGAGCTTGAGCAGCTAGAACATTGCTCTTCATGAAGGGCATAGCTGGCAGTGAGAAGGAAGCCCCCCCCCCCAACCTCCTTCTACTTCCCCCTCCCCAAACCACTCCTTGACTTTGAGACACTTTTTCTTTGTGTCCCTTACTGCTGCCACAATCAGCATGACTGTTTAGGGTTCATCTACATCATTTACATACCAAGAGTTCTATGAAAGCAGAATGCACAAATAAGCAGGTCATAATTTTTGTTATAATAAATATAAAATTTACAATGATCAGACCCATCTGTGTTTGTCTCAGTGGCCAGATGTGTCTTGCAAACCATCAAAGCCATCTTAAGTTTGAGATGAGTGGATAGAATATTGGGGTTATCAGTTGTTTCTGATTTTTTTTTTTTAAGGGGAAAACGCCCAACCTGTAGTGACATTAGTCTTCTGACTTGCAGCAGAAATCGCTGATCAAATAGCTTTCTCTCTCTGTGTTATTATGTAGGGAGGATACTAAAGGGGAACTAGATAGAGGCTGCACAGGGGAGATCCCAGGGTAGGGATCCTGAAGGGGAACTAGATAGAGGCTGCACA